AGTCACCAATCCGAATTGTAGAGTGTATGTCTATGATATCATTTCAGCATGCTATGAGGTTCCCTAAGCTCACTTTCAGTAACTCCAAACAATTTTTGATACAATTTAATATTGTATATAACTGTTTTGTTGTATGACTGTTTTGTTTTATTTGTATTTTTGTAATTCATCACAATAATAGTCACCAGTTTTAGATTTATGCGCTTTTCCTATATTAATAATAAACAAACACACAATATTTTATAAAAAGTTAAAAGACTTTTTAATTGAGCGATTAAACTTAAGTCACCTGGTCAAATATATATATATAAAGAAACATACAATGAAAAGATGTCAGCCTTTAAACAAAACAGCCACCGGCTTTCACAGAAACAGATGCCAGCATCCAAAGAAGACGGAAGCCAGCATCAAAAGGAAATGACTTCAAACAAAACGGCCACCAGCTTTCACAGAAACAGGTGTCAGCATCCAAAGAAACAGGTGTCAGCATCGAAAAAAGACAGATGTCAGCATCTAAAGAAACGGATGCCCACATCCATAGAAGACGAATGCCAGCATCCAAAGAAGACAGATGCTAGCATCCAAAGGAAATTACTGTCAGCATTCAATTTATAATATGTTAATATAATTTTACTTACAACTGGGATTCCAGCATCCCGGAGATTAACTCTAATGGATGAACATCCAATTTTTATACGACCGGTCGTATATTGGTATCAAGTCGTCGTCGTCAGTGTCGTCCGACGACAGTTGGTTTCCGGACAAGTATAATAAAATAGAAATCTATAAAATTTTAACACAAGGTTTATTACCACAAAAGGAAGGTTGGGATTGATTTTGGGGGTTATGGTCCTAACAGTTTAGGAATTGGGGGCCAAAAAGGGGCCCAAATAAGCATTTTTCTAGTTTCCAAACCGTTTAGGAATTAGAGGCAAAAAAGGGGGAAAAACAAGGGTTTCCATGGACAATTACTTAAGACAATTTAAAAGCAGTGTAATCCAAACACAACGTTTTTAAACCTCCCTTGCACTGCTTTTAAATTATGTATAAAGAAATGTTGTATTGTCTTGCGATGATTAACTGTTAATTTATTTTTAGAAGTTACTATTAAGGAATATTAATTTTAGACATGATTATGTATGTCATCTTCTATTTTAAGACTGTTATGATGTATTTAAATGGGTAATTATGGTTGCAAACTCCATTGGAAATTTGAATTGAGATTATGACATATCTTGCGGGAAAGATTTTTTTTTGGGAACAGGGGGGAGGTGGCGGAGGTGAAAAAAAATTGGGGGAAAAGGGGGGGGGGGGGGTAAAAAGAAATTGTGGGGGGGGGGGGGGGGTCAATTTTTTCTCATTTCAGATTTCAGAAATTAAAAAGAAAAATTCTTCAAATAAAAAAATGAGGGGGTCAATACGCAACAGCATAGTGTATTGCACAAAAGCAAAAACAAAAGGGGGGGTATTTTTTTTTGTTGGGTGAGGGGGGTCAATTCGCAACAGCAAAATGTATTGCACAAAAGCAAAAAATTGAATATAAATTCAAATCATATAACCAATTCTAAGTTCTTTGACTACAGTTGTTCTGTGTCAGAAACCTATTATGTGTCAAATATTTAATTACAATCCAAATTCAGACCTGTATCAAGCGCGAATATTGTGTCCATTTTTGCCCCAACTGTTCAGGGTTGGACCTCTGCGGTCGTATCCAGCTGCACTCGGCGAAGCAATTTATTATTAATGGGATGGCAGCATCCAAAAAGAAAGTTGAGTCTGTATGCATATAATTGGGATGCCAGCATCCAAACAAAAGGTATTTCAAAGTCTATATATATATAACAGTTGGGGCAAAAATAAAGAAGCCACTTCTCCCAGTTTCTCAGCATTTCAGTGTGGTCACAAACTTGATGACTTTAACCGCATGAAGATCCTAGTGATTGAACAGAACATTCACTGGAGTGATGCCTAGTGACAGGTTCGGGAAAGCTTTTCGATAAAGGAACTAAATGTACATCATCCAAACGGCATCAATAAAAAATACTAATTTTATTTTTCACTCATTTTGGGATGTACATATACACAGTCACGTATATTTGAGTATTGAGTTTTGTTTTATATTATGATGTTCAGGATTTTGGATTAAATCAATAGACCGAAACTTACTTGTATTACTGAGCTATTTTTATACATATAATCAGTATTGTTAAAATTATTGACACTGAAGAAGGCTATTTGTTAAGCCGAAATATTTGTCAACACGATTTAATAACAACATCTTCGTATGATACCATCTTATTAGTATCGTTGTGCAAATCTCTAGACTTATATATATACAAGTCTAAATTGAAAGCAACGTTCAAACCTATGGATGCGTTGGATAAATACAGCAGTTTTTATACGTGTGCATGCAAAACAAATTTCTTGGTAGTGGGGTCTAAATACAACAAAAACAACATTTTCCAAAAGACCAAAAAAGTGAAAAAGTATATTTTAACAAAACGCATTTGACTAGCAGGTCGAACAACGGATGTTCTTAAACCCTGCTGACTGCCATTGGCGATTGCCAAATAAACGGATCACCAGATGTAACAAAATGGATCTTAACTATTAATTTAATACCAAACAGAAAACAATAAACTTGCGGAAATGATGGTATACCGCAAACAAAAGGTGCAAAAATTAGTACACCATATCCGGATTTCGACAATTAATGTCTCTTCAGTGATGTTAGGAATCGAAACGGTTTTGGAAGGCCATATAATTTACCTCAATTTAGGATAGACTCTTTAATTGTATATATATATTAGATGCCAGCATCCAAATGCTGGTGTGGTCAATATGGAACTTTATAAAGCCATATCAGCAGCCTGCAAAGATGAAGATGTTATTTCCATATTTTTATGCCCCCGCCGTAGCGGAGGGGGCATTAAGTTTTACCCTTGTCCGTCCGTACGTCCAAAAGTTGGTTTTCCGTTCTCTAACTTTAGTTTGCCTCAACCAAATGTTATGAAACTTATACACAATGCTTATAACCACAAAATACAGATCAAGTTTGAATTTTGGTGGCGTCACTTTAACCGTTCTAGAGTTATGCTCCTTTACAAATGGAAAAATTGCTCAATTTTTCGTTTCTGTTCTCTAACTTTAGTGAGTCTCAACCAAATGTTATGAAACTTATACACAATGCTTATTACCACAAAATACAGATCAAGTTTGAATTTTGATGGCGTCACTTTAACCGTTCTAGAGTTATGCTCCTTTACAAATGGAAAAATTGCTGAATTTTTCGTTTCTGTTCTCTGACTTTAGTTAGCCTCAACCAAATGTTATGATACTTATACACAATGCTTATTACCACAAAACACAGATCAATTTTGAAATTTGGTGGCGTCACTTTCACCGTTATGCCCCTTTACAAATAGAAAAAAGTTCTGAATTTTTCGTTACTGTTCTCTGACTTTAGTTTGCCTCAACCAAATGTTATGAAACTTATACACAATGCTTATAACCACAAAACACAGATCAAGTTTGAATTTTGGTGGTGTCACTTTAACCGTTCTAGAGTAATGCCCCTTTACAAATGAAAAAAATTGCTGAATTTTTCGTTTCCGTTCTCTAACTTTAGTTTGCCTCAACCAAATGTTATGAAAATTATACACAATGCTTATTACCACAAAATACAGATCAAGCAGGAATTTTGGTGGTGTCACTATAACAGTTCTAGAGTTAGCCAGTTTACAAATGGAAAAATTGCTGAATTTTTCGTTTCTGTTCTTTAACTGAAGTTAGCCTCAACCAAATGTAATGAAACCTATACACAATGCTTATTACCACAAAACACAGATCAAGTTTGAATATTGGTGGTGTCACTTTTACTGTTCTAGAGTTATCCCCCTTTACAAACGGAAAAATTGCTGAATTTTTCGTTTCCGTTCTCTAACTTACGTTTTCCTCAACCAAATGTTATGAAACTTATACACAATACTTATTATCACAAAACCCAGATCAAGTACACATTTGGGTAGTGTCACCTTTACCGTTCTTCAGTTATATCCCTTTATAACTTTATATGTTATGCAAGCGGACTTATCATCTGTGTCCCATGGACACATTCCCCATTTATTTTGTATAATCCCCCCCCCCCCCCCCACCCTAATGCATTTTAAAAATATTCTGTATACAAAAATAATAGTTGTTAATTGTATAAAACAGCCTCTCAACTACAAAAGGTAATGCAATAATTAAATAGGCATCCCATATTTTTTAGAACCAATAAAATTTGTTCAGCAGAATCTGCTACCCATAGAGATGAAATGAATCCATATGCTTGAAGTAAGATTAGCATATGTTGATACTATAAAAAAAACCCAGTTTAATAGAAAATAAAATAAAAGCTTAACTTTTTCCCAGAACATGGTGAAATTTTGTAGAAAGTAACATAAAATGATCATAAAAATTCTAAACATATCAATAATTTCTATAACAGCATATGAGAATTTAAAATTGTAGTTGAGAAATCATTTTGTGCAGTATATGTAACAAATCGTTTTGTTCAAAACAGAGTGTTAAAAGGCATCTAAAAGAGAAACACAACAATTGCTTAATAGAATGTACCTATACTATTATACATGAAATTGAATATTATGTCCAGAACAATACAAGACATAGAGGTGTATACGAATGAAAGTTATGATAATATTAGATTTGAATTTCATTCAGATGCACCAATAAGAAACCGTAGTTTTTCTTCAATTAATTTACCGAAAACTATTAAATCTGCTGCAAAATTATTATTATATGTACGCCTACATTGCATTAAACAAGGAAATTAACAATGTATATTTATATAAACGATCAAATAAATAAATAAATAAATAAATAAATAAATAAATAAATAAATAAATAAATAAATAAGTAAATAAGTAAATAAATAAATAAATAAATAAATAAATAAATAAATAAATAAATAAATAAATAAATAAATAAATAAATCTTACCTCGAAAGGTCAAGTAGTATTTTGAACCAATGTCTTCAACAGTGTGCGTTGGAAGGTAAAAACGATAATAATTCAAAGTGCATTCCAGTTTATCTGTGTTGAAGAAAAATGCTAAACAAAAGTACCTTAAGCAAGAGATCGAACATTCTGATAAAGATTGAGAACTAAAGACTGGCATTAAATCATAGAGAAATGTTCTGTTGGCTAGATTTGAATACTCTTTCACACGTAAGTAACGTAAATTGCCCTCGCCCTTTCCGCTCTCTGGAAACATATCTCTAGGATCCGGAGTAATTTCAAGACAGCTGACATTCACAAATAATTGGAGAATATTTACAAAAATAAGATATAATGCTGCAGTATACATATTTTTCAGTCCAAGTTTGCTCATATAATGCACACGATAGCAAACTTTTTCTTCATTTATATTTGTTTTATAACGTTTGATTTCCACTTTCATTCTAGTTCTGATTAAATAATTGATTAATATCAAATCATTATCGTCATGGAACTGATAATCCGAATTAAATGTAACCCAATTCACACTACTGAGAAAAATAATTACTTTAGTTAAAACCGTCAACTGGTCCTAAGTGAATGTAGTATTATCTAATATACTGTTATAAATGATTATTAAATACAGGAAATGTCTCCGCGTAATGATTTAGTCCTTACATTAGTATTGATTGGTTTAAAAAAAGGAGATCCGTTTTCTTTTCATCTACCTTGTTTTGAAATTGTAAGGATACGTTCGATTCCTAATACCGTACGTCCGTTTTACAATGTCAAAATGTTGATAAAATGACATTTGTTTCCAACGACTTCTAATTACGTATGAAGTAAACTGTAAAGATTGCATGGAAACTGAAAACCTGATTTGTCAACATTGATACCAATTACAAGTCATATGAATGTAAAGACGCCATTTATTTCCTGAAACATAATATCTCCAAGTTGAACATTACCATTACCGGATTGTTATATTCTAAATTGACTATAACGAATTATAGACTACAATTTTCAAATTTTATCGGAAACGTTTCATTTCAATTTGAGAATAAATGTAATAAATTATCTTTCATGACAAGGGAAAAAAGTAATCAGACAAGTGCGTGAGACTTATTTTTGCACATATACAGACCATTGTAAGCAACAAGACAAATTCAAATTCTGAAATTTATAAGCTAGGTTAAGGAGGTCAATCTATTTCGGTTTCATCTTAACAATTGAAACCCTATTAATATAGTTTAATTCATATAAAAACGTGATAGTTCGTTTTGACTATAAAATAAAAACAATTTGATTCTTTATAAAAAAAAATTGTTTCTTGCACTTGTTTATGGCAGTCACTTCTGATACTGATTCTCATTTTACTGTAAATTTTTTAGCAGACATGAATAGAATCCCTCTAAACCAACAAAATTTCGGACTTTATTGAAAAGATCAAATAAGCAACTAGTTATAATCTTTATCATCAATTTGAATTTTAAATATTGAAATGAGGAATTATAAAATAATTATGTCGGAAAATGAAGAATTTCACACACTCACACCAATACAAGAGAATAACAAAAATGAATTAATATGGAAAGGGCAGATACGAGGAAGGGTTTAAAAAAGCAACCAAACACATGAAGCACTACATTCATCACAATTACGATAATGATAATATATATTAGATAGGGTTCACACCACAACTACTTATTCGGGTGTATCTAATTTTACCTATGATTTATCGTTCAAATTGGTGAATATAAAAAAAAGGGATTTTTAGGGAGAATTGCATAAGACATCATGAGAATATCGAGTGTGAAGCATAAACTTGTATAAACAGAGAGCTCAGGAATACATGATAAAATCAAAGTGAGTAAAAAAAAATAACTATAATATTTTTATTTAAAGAGATTATCTCATTTGGATTAAACCAATTTTCAATTAGACTGTAACATTTTGGTACCTTCAATTCAGAAATCAAAATGTATCATAAATCTAACATATAACATCCTTCAGATGTTAATAAGACATTAGTCTGACAGATTTCAGTATTCATAGTTTTAAGCTTCGTCTAACGTATTTGCAAGTATTTTAACTTCTCGAATTTAGTGCAAAACTACAAAAATTAAAGAAAAAGCCCCATTTTGAAGACTTTTCGTTAATCTTAAAATATAAGCAAAGGGCTGGCTTTACACAGAATATATTTTGCTACAAAGTGTAGTTTGTTAACATGTTATTATGAGTAAAATATCTTTTCGCGTAAAGACTTTGATCATATCTGTCCAAAACCTATGAGTAAAATGGCCATTTTTATCAAATATGTCAATTTTAACTAGTTAATGACGCCATAGTAACACCAAAAGTGATCTTTCCGCACTAAAAAAGTCCAGATTATAACAACCTGATCATTTATCAATGAAATTAACACAATTTTGAAAGTCTTGAATAATATTGTTATTTTTGTAATTTTAGGGTCCAGTTAGTGGCTCTTAGCATAACTCATTCTTTCAGTGGTAAAAACTAAATGAACAATTGCAGTTCAGCCAAGCACTTAATATGCTTTTTTTTTTTGATAAAAATCAAAGAATTGCAAATGATAACTTAGTAGTGCAGGCGTTAATGATTACAACCAAAGCATTTCCTTAATACATTTTATTGCTACGTTGTTGTGTTGAAACGCTTTCAAGAATATGTTGAACGACACTTTTTTGGAGATTGAAATGAAAGGTACATATATGACTTTGAGATGAAGAACCACAATACAAGTACTGTTCCTTTGCTTTTTTGTGCTGTGCATGTACTGATTTTGTGTCATAGATCATGGATGCCCATATCCTTTGTTTTTCTATTATAAAAATATTCATGATCAGTTTCTCTTAAGTAAGTTGTCCTGATTTAGGCATGCAATAATTAAAATAGCGCTTTACCCCTGCATAGAGTCCGAAACGATATTTTTCCTCTCGCGACAGTTAAAACACGAGGCTTATATAATTAACGAGCTCTTTAGATATTTTTAAAATTTGAATCGAGATCTCATAGTGTAAAATCGTGGTTTAAATTTAGATGATATTTGTACAAAATTATCTTCGTTTTAATTTAAAGGAGGTTGCGTTTTTACTCTATGGAGTCATCAATAAAATAAGGAGATGTGGAATGATTGCTTATGAGACAACTATCCCACAAAATCCAAATGACGTGGATATATAAAGCAACCATAGGTCACTTTACAACCTTCAATAATGAGAAAAAAAATTATCTTTACGTCACAAAATTTTAATTCTGGTATAATATCTATGATAAGTTTATTGGTACATAGATTTTTTGTTAATACAACGTACATGTATTTAGGTAAATTAAATTAGTTTACTGATTTAGTCATCATATGTCCTCTTTTGTTAATAATTCTTATCTTATCTTATCTTATATAAGCAGAAGTTTAAAACGCTAACAGATATGAGGTTTCAGTTGTACAGTTTTACATAGTATCTTACTATATCTTGTCTATACAAGTCCTTGCTTTTACTGATTATATTTTATCTCATTTTGATTATTCTACATGTATGTATCAACATGCAAATTAAAAAGAAAGTAGAATATGAAATAAAATAATATTCAATTTCTATATGGATACTGTTCTTTTACTTTCTTTTTTTTCAGTCAACGATTTGATAAGCAACATGAGATGTCTGAAATGACTGGAAATAAAGAATTCATACAGCTCTATTTCGGAGATATAACGAATAGAAAGGTAAGTGAGGAACTGTTAAGGATTGATTTCAAGACAACATAAAAGTTTATTTTATATAAATAAATATATTTTTTCGTCATAATAATAACAGGCTGTTTTTTTTTATTTTTGTTTTATGATACTTTTTCTTTGACATACAAAATGGTCACATTCACCTTGGGTTTTTGTTCCTTCAGCTAATTACTATTTTAAATCAACAGTCGCACACAGTTTTAAGTTTAGAGTTCGTAAATCAAAATCTTTTGCTTATTCCAATCGCCTTTATGATTTTGTCTCCATTAAGAAGACACATATTCAGATGTTTTAAAAGTGTACGGAGAAGCAACAGAACCCTTCGAAGTTATCAATAGTGAGTATTAGGAAAAAATTGTTTGAGAGATTAATAATCCTCGTTTTATCAGAATATATGTATGTATGTATGTTATGATACCGTTGCCAAAATACACAATTTCTCAACGAATTATACTTTGAGGGACTGAATGGAAGTAGATTAGACACACCAAATTAGTAAACACTGAAGCAGTTTTTTTGGGGTCCCTATGGTCGAGAAAGTAGATTCGGACGCACCATAATGTGTTGATATTTTCATTTCCTGGATGAATCTTAAAGGCAAAATAATCAAAGCTTAGGATGGGGTAACATATATAAATACACGAAATTTTTAACCGAAAGGGTGATCTTTAACAGTTGTACTTTCCAGTATTTTTGGTAATTGTCCAGTTATCTTTTTTTAAGTTTCGTATATCATTTATTTGTGATCATTATGGAAGGATTAAAAACTGATCAAGATTTCATAATAATATCATAATTCGAAATTAAAAATCTGTAGATGGGTCAATTTTTAAAAGTTAAAGGTGTGTGTGTGGGGGGCAGAATATACCATGGCTAAGAAAAAGTATTGTTATATATTTTCCAACATAATTATGCTATTCGTTTTGGTTAATTATGGGAGCAATATAACTAGATTAAGTATCTAGAATACAGAGGTAATTTTAAATATGACATCTTGCGCCTGAGCAGGCACATTTTGACCCTGATTTCCAATTTGTGTTTCCAATTTTTATTTTTTTTTGTTCAACATAGCGCTCATTTGGTACTAGTATTGTCCATGTACTGTCCATGTATTACATTAAGTGTTTTACGGCATATGGTGTAGAAAGGCAGATGGGGGAGGTTTGGTCAGCGACCCTGATAAAGGTGAATCCAGCGCTTTGGACGCATGACATTTATAAAATGTTGTTACCATTTTTTATAGCACTGGGTTGATACCGCTGCGAGTGGACTTTCGGTCCTTGAGGGTATCAACATCTTAGTACATGATTTATAACAACCCTTTCTTAAATTGTCCGTTTATAAATTATTAAGAAACTGAGGTTTCAACAACCTCATGCAAAGTTGACCTTGGAAGGATTTGGCTATTATTTTTAGGTCCTTTTTGGTTATTTAGAATTTTAAATACTGCGATTCATATTTCATATACTTCCTTGGCTTCCAAATAGTCGGCTATGAGCGTTCCTAATGAATGAATGTGAATCCAGAAAAGCGCTTCGGACGCATGAAATCTATAAAGTGTTGTTTGGTGCGCACGTTAAACAACTTATTTTTACATGTACCATGGCTAACTGTCTGTATCACGTG